CCAACGACCACTAATTTAATTTTGTGATTTTCGGTGCATGATGAAAATCGTACGACGGTTCGATCATCGGACAAGAATATTCGTCCGATGATTGCAAGGTGTATGGGCACCTTTTAAAAAAGTTATACTCACCTGATCCTCATAGCCAGCTTGTTTTTAGACCAGGCCCTGGAGCCTCATTCCCCCTCTGCTGCAGCACCTAGGCAAAAACAAACACTTAACCCTTTTAGTGTAGGGGTAGTTGAAAGGGTTAAGTACACTTTTGCCCGGAGTTCTGCTTTAGTGATCTTCACACAATAAATTGTGTGAATAATCACTTCAATTATCAAGTCATGTAAAAAGCAAATTCCTGTTTATTTTTTCATCTGCATATGATTTGAATAGCTGAAGTGAATACTCACGCAATTCATTGTGCAAAAATTCTCAATTCTAAATTAGCACAAGAGCAGATGCTCAGGGAGGAGAGATCAGGGGAAGCTGGACTGCCTAAGAGAATGACCTAAACAACTTCAGTGCTTCTCCTGTGAGCTTTGTGGATAAGTTGCTTGTTTACTGTTTGTTAAGAATTTATAAATACTTAAATGTTCATAAGCTGGTGACATATTCCCACTAAGTTTTTTTATGTATTGAGGAATGATACAAAACAATATAAAAATAGACATTAAACAGTACTAATACAACAAGGTTAAGTTACCTTAAATAATTCATTTACCATAGAAAAAGTTGTGCAACATACATCCAGATGTATGATATGTACTGAGGAATATTATTTATAGTGATGTGCAAATTACATCACACCACCTTATTTAAAAGTTACAAACCATTCAAGCTGTCTGGTTAAAATAAAACACATAACACTACAATGTTTATAAAACTCATCTGCTGAGGTTTCATGATTGACTAAAAAAATGTCATGGTATATACTGTACATACTAAAGATGTGATGGTTCATTTTTCAACCCTACTAATTGGATCAAGCAAGGAAGTCAGATGTTTATTTCCATTGCACCAGTCTTGCAAACAGGCCAAGGGATCAAGAAGAAATGTACACAATGGCAAAAGCAAGTGGAAACTGTAAAGTAAACACATTGTACACACTGCACACCACTGTCCACATAGGAGAAGTCTAAAAAATATATATTTATAATCAAATTAGACAGAAGGTATTTTCTCTAACTTGAGTGGAAAATATCTAGGACTGCAAAGCAAGGAAACATTAATTAAAATGTATTTGCATCACAGCATCTGTGCGCTACGGTCCACTGACTCGTCTACAATAAACAGTAACTGGTTGTTATGTGTCAGACTAATATCTACATTGTTTTTTACATTCATTGAGAAGAAGCCATGACAATTAGGCTTAAGAAAAAATATGAATGGTATGGGTCCTTTTACATTGCAGGAGTATGATTATACAAACATTTCAGGGTTATTCACAAAAGAGTTTCGAGAAGGCAGGAGAAGTGAACAATCCAGGACAACATAGCTGATTTCGAAAATTCTCCAATTCTCCAAGCAATTTTATGCTATTGGGCTTGTTCTACTTTCCCCCTTGTTCATAACAGGATCTACGTATCTAGATCAGCAGCCTCATGTCTTGTCTGTTGGTATTAAATCTAATGTGTCACCTAACTGTCTACCTTGTGCTGCTGTGTAGAGTATATAATGCCATAATTTGAGCTGGAACTCACTTTTGGAACCAACTTTACTTATTTTGTAGAGAAGATGGTTATGTTGTTAAATCTGGTGCCCCTTGCATACCAAAGAAGGTAAAGGAGCTAATACATAGTGGAAAAATGGGTAGTTTTATCGACAAAAACTCATAACTACCAATATCCAACAGATATTGATCAAAAGATCTGATATGAAATTTTGTTTGTACAATAGTTTTATTAGTGCTTAAGAGTGATAATTGTATCAGTATTAGTCACCTAAACAAACCAATATCAGCTGAGAAACTGTGGGGTCTATTCACTAAGCTGCTGTAGGCAGCCGAGTGAATAACCGACCCCAAGAGAAGTGAGCCGAACGCTGTTCGGCTATTCACTTCAGGCTGGTATGGCTGATTCCAGCCGTATACAGCCACACATCAGGTGGCTTGGCGTGGCTTCGGGTCGGCCGAACATGCTCAGCATGTTCGGCTGACACGAAGTGCAGAAGGAGTTCGACTCAGACGATTCAACATCTAGATCGGCTAAGGCGAACTTCCGGCAGGCTACTCGCTGCTGTTCGGTCTATTCTCATAGATGCCGGACTGGAGTTCTGCCCGGTCCCTTTGTGGAACCGAGCAGAATAGAAAAATAGTTTAAAAAGTAGAAAAAAAAATAGAAAACGATTGGGCGGAGCTAGCAGTGACAGCTAGCTCCACCCAACTGTTTTCTATTGGCCGGGCGGATCTGCTGCCGTCAAAAAAAAGAAAAAAAGAACACACCATAGGAATGCATAGCTAGATTCCTATTGGTTATTTCACTTTGCAATAGCCAATAGCAAATTAGCTATTGCACCCGCCCTGTGCTGCTGTCAATCACCAGAGGGGGACCTGATGGAGAACTGCAGGTCTCCCTCTGCTGATTGACAGCAGCAGTGGGTGGGTGCAATAGCCAGTTTACTATTGGCTATTGCAAATTGAAATAGCCAATAGGAATCCTAGCTATGCATTCCTATGGTGATTTCTCTTTTTTTTTTTTCTTCTGACGGCAGCCAACGGCTCCGATGTCAGAAGAAAAAAAAACGAGCAGGGAAAGGTTTACTTTGCTCGATCGAGCAGAGTGAACCTTTCTGGGATGTCAAAATTAGAAAAGTTGGGTTTTTTTGGGCAGCCGACTGACAACTTTACAAACCAAACATCTTTTGAGAAAATATTGGTTTTTATTTGATTAAAAGGTGAATAGAATAGATAAAATTTGACAACATGATTCTCCTATAAGCTTCCTCCACACTGATTAAAGTTCATTCAAAAAAGGATAACATTTAAAGATTTGTACAATGAAACATGATTGGAAAACATGATGATAATTCATGGACACAATACATGATTTGTATAGAAAGGGTGTTGGAGGAGCTTGATTTTCTCGACGTTTCGCGCTAAATAGCGCTTCTTCAGGAGATGGAGAGGGAGGTTGTCCTTGGAGTCTGTGTGCGTCCCGGTTGTCCACCCGGCTCAGACGGTGAAAAAGTAAAAGCATAAGGCATGGGGAGGAGGAACAAGAGAGAAGGAGAAGAAATGGAGGCCCTAAAACCCCAGTGGAGGCAGACCCAATCAAGAGATGGCGGAGGTACCACAGCTTGTAACAAATTGGAAGTAGAGACACAAGGCTATCAGTCAGCGCCGTAAGATAGCCATTCCTCTCTTGAAATCGAGCCCCCAGCAGCTAATACAGCCCTCTCAGGCTTGGAGAAAGTGTTTCTCTCCAGGGTGGCTGGGAGCCTATTAGACTCCCAGAGCGACCGGGGGGGGAATGACAGATGACGTTCCTGGTTACCAGGTAACCAGGAACGCCATCTGTCATTACACACTGAGAACACGGAGAGGCCGCTGTGATATCATAGTGGCCCTGCCGGGTTCTCAGTGTGTAATGACAGCGTCCCTGGTTACCTGGTAACCAGGGACGTTGATCTCTCTGCAAGTGGCCAGAGCCAGCCGTAAGATGACGGCTGGCTCCGCCCAGCTGTCAGAAGCAGGCTGTCGGCCGCTCGGCGAGCTAAGGCTTTCACCTCGGCTCTACTGAACCGAAGGGGTCCTGGTGGCGAAGCTAGCCAAAGGATCAGACGAAGCTATGGCTAGATCCTTCGGCAGCTTAGGGAATAGACCCCTGTACCTTTTTTATGTTCGCTATCTCAATATACATAAGTGCCAAATTATTATATTTAGCTGTCCACCTGATGGTCAGTTTAATCAGTTAGATCTCCTCATACATGTGTACCAGTATGAGGAGATAGCTGGCTATCTCAGGCTCTCCCTGTTTGGCCCCAGGACCGGAACGGTGGGTCTGTTCACATAGATCAAAGGAAAAATTATTCACACTTTTATCAGCTGATCTCCCCTCCAATCACTGGACCTTGAAGTGAGGTGCATTACACCACTTCCGGTTTCAGTGTGTCATTTCTCCAGCTGCTGTAGTCAGAGAAGAAGCTGGCAAACCAAGCATGACAACTGCAAAATGTAACTAAAATAGTTTATTGACATGTATTTTGCACATACAACATTATAAAAGTTCTATAAGACACAATATATGATTTTTTTAAATCCATATTTTTTTATATAATAAAATAAAAATACAAGATGAAAATTGTTATAAAAATTAACATTGCCTGTTAAATTTTTTTGCTTTTACCCGTTTTGACTGTAGAATAAACCTGTACATATAAAAATAAAATACTTGTAGAAAATATTAGCTTGCCAACTAGTTGGTTGGTTGCTGAATGCTTAAAGGAGAACTATGAGGTGGGTGATTTACACTCATCCTTATAGTTAGAGCCCACGTGTGACATTGAAACCATCACACGTTGGCTCTATTGATGGGGAAGTGAGCGAAAGCATACCGTCGCTCGCTCACTTCTCTATCATGTCCCTGCAAGAGCCATGACTGTCAGTCACCTGTCCCCACATGTATCCACCCCCCTCCCCTCTTCGATCCTCCAGAGCTGAGTGGAGGAACGAACGGGGAGGCGACAAGCACAGCTGGCTCTGCCTCTAGATAGGCAGAGCCAGCTGTCAATCTGCCAGCTGGGTTGATCGCGACAGGATTGTTGGGATACGTCCCGGCTGCGGTGCTACTAGTATATAGCATGCAATAGCTCGTTATATACTGAGTTTTGGGTCACGGGAGGACCTAAGTATATGTGCTTCCATGCCCCTAAAGAGAACTATGGGATAAAAAGTTTACCCCATAGTTCTCCTTTAAGCTAATAATTATCCAATAATAACATTTTGACAATTTACTATTTAGGTTTAAATACATATTTTATATTGATTACAAGTAAGTCATAGGTTTGTTAACATATGATTGCAGATGAAGAATTCTACAGATCACATAGAAAGCTGGATTCAAAAGGTTAGTTGAGATTGTTTGACTCACTCGCATGATCTGCATGAGTCGTGGATCCTGATCATTAAGCACCTATTTGCTAATTAGCCATTGCTCCCGAGCGCACAGCATAACATTACAACCATGTTTTTTTTATTCCATTCTTGAAAATGATTGAGTTAGAATATCTAAGGTCTTCTGTAAGTTTTGTGGTCATTTTGAAACCATACCTAGGCATAAACACATATTTAACCTCTTACACTTGCAGATACACCCTTTTTTTTTTTTTCTTTTCTTTTCATTCTACATTCCATATCTTTATGGCATGATTGAGTCACCACTGTAGCAGCCCAAAGTGGGAAGTGCAGAGCTCTTGGCCTAACTTTTTTCCCCAACTACCTGCTTTAACTAAGTGTATTATATTGCTATCAAATTAAACATACCTGATATTTAGAGTGCATTTACACCAAAATGTGTGTGTTGGACAATGAAAAGAGTAAAAACTGGAAAAACTGTGGCCTAGGAATCTGCCATGTTACCTCTTAACACCAACCATGCACAGTACAGTGTTAATATAGAGGCAGTACACACATCTTTAGAGAGATTTTACCCAATTACTGTCCCAGTGACAATGGTTATAGAAGTGATAGAAAAAACTGTAACAGGACACACACCAATAAAAAAGCTATCAAGTGTGGTAGGTTACCATACTCTACTAAAAAAAAAGCATCTCTGTTTCTCTCTATGTTGATGTTGGAGATTTTTCTTTCTTCACATAAAGACCTGAATAACTGTTAAGCTGGGTATACGTTTGTAGATTTCAGATTTCAGCTTTCAGATATTACGATGGATGGTGGAATCTCACGCTGTGGCTATTGTATTTTAATAGTTGGCCCCAGCTGACTATCAAAATACCTGAACAGTGCCTGCGTCCGATTGGATGCAGATGCCGTTCAACTGTCAATTTTCCATCCGGGCTTCTTTGATTATTCATTCAAAGGATGTCAGGCAGAAGGCAGCAGACAGAACCACCCACTAACTGAATTTGGGCTGGTTTATCCAGAATCGGATTAAAATTGCCCAGTGTGTAGCCAGCTTTAAGCCAAACAGTTCTACCGTCTCTAAACTCTATCCAAAACTAAGGGGTCTATTCACAAAGCTGCCGAGGGCAGCCGAGTGAATGACCGATCAGAAGTGAAGTGAGCCGAACACTGTTCGGCTATTCACTTCAGGCTGGTACGGCTGATTTCAGCCGTATATATTTTCTGGACATTTATTTTTTATATTTGTATTCAATAAGTTCACACAACCCTACCAACATTTTTAAGTTTATTTTTTTATATTAACAAGAGGCTTGTCTTTATAGTTTAAAGCATATTTCATTGCATTTTAATTGTTGAAATAGTTAAAACATTTATTAAAAAGTATCAAATTTTAAAGCTTAGCTCCAGGCAATTAGCTAAATGCACAGACAAAATACATATATAAAAAACTGTTTTACCTGCCGAAACATTTTATTTCTTTCCACCAAGTTTTGAGATTTTCACACCTCTGCCACAAAGCACAACCCTGTCTGGTAGGACAGAAGACCTGGTTTCCTTAGCTGCGATCGGATAACACTTACAGGTCATGCCCCCTATACATTCTGTGACTGGACAGTGAACAGAGAAGCAGCTCATCTTTCATTCACTCTGCTATCAGCATGCTTTTTGTTAGCACATGAAAAATGTAGCACAACTAACTGACTCTTTGTACTGCTTCTTCTGGTCCCAATCTGAGTTCTGCTCTGTATTAGAGCTGAAATCTAGCCTTTCCTTTAGCCATAAATACATATTTTAACCTAGTGTAGTCCTTTTAGCCTTTGTTCACTAGTTACAAACTCTACCAGCAGCAGACCATCATACAAATAACTAACAGTAGGCCTTCATTCAAATATCTTTTCTTGAAGTACAGAGGTACTGTATTACAACATAATTTCATGTTCTTTTTTGGTGATTTCCACAACACGTGTTGGGCTTGCATAAGCCAAGTTGTTGGCAGTTGATTGCATACTTAAACATTTGCTGTTTTAATATAACTAAAAAGGCAGCATTATATTTGGAATTTACAAAACCTAGATGCAACCTGGAGCCATTGTTTAAGTGCTGTTTAAGTGTAGAACTGTAGGAGTGTTTCTTGCCTATTCTAAGAGGTTCCAAGTTCTCATATCGCCAATCTTCAGATCCCTCAGTCCTTCTTGAATTTCTTTTTGATATTATGAAAAATAATTATATGGACACGTTTTCTGTTTCAGCAAGGATGGACTTGGCTGCTGAAAACGTGTCATATGCATGATTATGACCTTCACATTTTATACAGGACTGCTTATCTTCCATATTTGTTAATTCTTTGGGTTGACACCAGCAGCATAAGCATGACTGAAAGGAAAAAATGAATACAAATGTTATAATATTGTCATCATCATTCATACATTTACGTAGTCAGCTGTCAGATCTATTTCAGAACAGAATATATGCTTCAAAATATTCATTTTAGGGTTTAGAATTGCATGCTTTTGGTTTTTATAGTAAAGCATGACACGTTGTTATTTAACTATAGGGAAGAGATCAGAGGCAGATATTTTAGAATGTAAATTAATAGCATTACAAAGGATTACAGTAAGGTGTATGTAAGGCCAAAACATTCTTAGGGAATGGTTAAGACCAGATCCAGGTTTTCTTTTTCGGTCTCTGCCCTGTCCGAGAGATTTCTCTTCTCATATTGGGGTCAATTTACCAAAGGCAAATAGGCTGTTCACTTTTCATTTTGAAAGACATTTTCCCTTAGCTTATTGAATGTGGTGAACATTCACTTTGCAAAGAAAATCACTTGCAAGTAATATAAAATAGCTGTAATTTAATTTTTCTTTAGTAAATCAACCACATTGTCCCAGAGATACAGCACAAAGTAAGACGAGATCTCTCCAAGTGAGCCCCTCTTAGACAATTGTCTAAAGTTGGCGATCCCTCACATCCTGTGGATTTTCCATTATTTTCTGTACAGGTGACAATGGTAACCAGGACCAATAGTAGGAGTAAATCTCCCAAGCAGAGACACAGAAAGTAATTAAAACATCACAGAGGTTCAAATGCTTCCACATTCTCTCTGAAACGACATTGTCTTTACATACACTTTTTAATAAAGCAGCAATAATATTTTGTACATTAGATCAGTCAAGACGGTGGACCACCATCTAAGGATATTTTCTGGGATTTTAGGTCTTGGAAGAACAAGGGGTTATTTATTTTTACTAAAAGGGTCTGCTCAATACTCAGCATAGAACAGTATTCACCCCTAACAAGTTAACTGATAAGAACAGAATGTTAAATATTTTTTGAAGACCATCTGGTAAATAAAATATGTAAAAATGATTTAACATAAGCTTTTTATCAACAGGATGTCTGATTTTTGTTTTATGGTGAACCATTTGAAAGGAAAAATTATGTTCCCTACATTTTTGATCCTGTAGCAAGAAATAAGGCCTGTGATCAACTTTAGATTCCAAACAGTCATTTTATACAAAACAAGATATACATGATTTGTTTTTAGTATAGTGATCATTAAAATAAGCAGAATGATACAATGGGTTAACTGACTACTGGCTTTCTTCTGACAAAAACTAGTTCCCTGTAGGGTCACAGTGTGGGAAAAAGGATAATGAAAACATACAGCCAGTAAGTAGTCCTAAACTCTTATTTGTATTAAAATATATACTAATATAAAATAAACTTGCTCTATAATATTGAAAAAATGGTTTTGCTACATCATAAAATCCCTGATTGTCCTCTCCTATGAGGCAAGTGGATGCATGCCAGAAATTTAATATTTTTACTAATGGGGGTGGAAGCATAGCTTAAAAAGAGGATTATTAAATGCATGATTATTGCGCAGGGCTAATAATTATCAAGCACAGCTGCAATAAGATGCAGTATTTTTTTTTCTCCAGTGTATATTTCTAAATTTGGAATTATACACATTCAAAATTTTTAGACATAAGCATAATTGTAAGCTTTTATACACCAAATGTATTTTTATAAACGCGAAAGTCCATTTGAAGTCACACAAATGGATATGCATATGCAGTCAGATTAACAATGTACTAACAACTTTTATTTTTCTAGACTAACTTTCATTTTTCAGTTACAGCAGCTGTGCAGGGAGTGCAAAGACACATTAAAAGCCAACATATTTAGACTCAGGACACTCCGATATGTAGCATATTCCATCAGACACTCCTCTACCCTTTTCTCTGCAATTGAATAAGGTGTGAAAACACTAGTGCTGAGGGGTGTGGCTTTTACTTGGCTGTGCCAGCATACAGCACTACAGTGTGAGGGCTGCATTTTCACTGAGAGGATGTATTTTGAGGCATTTCCAATCCTAAATCAGTCACAAACCTAACCTTTTGTGGCCACAGGACTATAAAGAGATAACAAGGTGAAATAATTCAATTGGCTTCAACAATACTATACAGTATATGTTATGTTAGACAGAACAAATCTTCCATCAAGTCTTACCTTAAAACATTTTTTATACTTTGTGCTTACTAAGTAAAGCGCAATTGGATTAATGCAGGAATTTAAGTTGGCCATGTTTATACCAACATAGTTCAGCAAGAGCAGAAAGCTGCAATTGGAAAAGAAAATGTGTACAGCTTATTGTCATTATATAATAGATAATGTCATTAGGTCACATATTAAACTTTATTTTATGTAGTATTTCCAGTATAATCTAAGAATACTATTTGCAAGTTTACAGAAAAACTATATGTTCAGTGAGCACCCCTTTTAAATTATTACCAAAAAGGTAATAACTGACTATGATTGTTGATGTTACTAATGAATTACTTGTACTCCATATTTTACTCCATATTATATGCAGATATTTGATACTGTATGCCAGGGGTAGGAAAACTCTGGCCCTCCAGCTGTGGTGCAATTACAAATCCCATTAGGCATTGCAAGACTCTGACAGCTACAGGAATGAGTCCCAAAGGCAGATACATGATGGGATTTGAAGTTCCACCATTGCAAGAGGGCCGAAGTTTGCATACCCCGACTGTATAGATTTGTAGATTCCATTTGTTGTCTACAAATAAATAAGTAGGTAGGATAAGTTTAATCACCACTCTTCATGAATAAGATAAGATGTATTACAAGATAGACCACTCAGGCTTGGTTTATGCAAGACAAAATGTATGGATGTCAGAAAGTTCTGTTTTATAACACCTGCTCCCACCAACAGATGGGGGTTGAGTTGAAGTGCATTAGAAAAAGTCTTGCAATCGGCATTCTTGATGAGTTACCCTGCGTTGTGTATTTTAAATCAATTGAAAAAGCATCCCTTATAAATGCATGTCTGACATAAAACCATGATGCGTGGCAGAATTAGCTCTGAAATTGTGTCCTGTAATTGTGTATAAAGTGTAGTACTAATGCCCAGTAATGTAACAATACTAATATCCAGCACTCAGTACGCCTACCTAATTTAGCATGGCACCTTTGTGGAGTATGAAAATAAAAAGCACCACTAATCTTATTTAATAAATGATCCAAATTAAATTGTAAACCTCACCTTACCTTTAGAGAATGTCCCAAAATTCATCATCTCTTTTACCTTGTTATTGCAGCAAGTAAGTAGAAACAGTATTTTTAATTCCTGAGAAATCATAACTAGGCATGTAAAATTCATGCAGTGGCAGCTGCTGGGAGCTCACTGATGCAAGCACACCCCCATAATTACATTTTCCAAAGGACTTTTACCTACACACCACACACAGGGTTATTCACCAAAGGGTGAACAGTTTGGAGAAGGCAGGAGAAGTGAACAATCTAGGGCAAAATAGCTGAACTAGAAAGTGAGCTGAATTGGGGATTTTTTTCCAAATCAGCTATTTTGTCCTAGATTGTTCACTTATCTTGCCTTCTCCAAATGCTTCACCCTTTTGTGAACAACTCTGACAGTGTTTGGATGGATGTCAAGGCAAAAGCACTGTTTTGCTGCCAAAGAAGTAAATGTAAGTATGTGGGCAGAGATGGGTGGGAGATAGGTGGATTTCAGTAGTCCAGGAGGCAGGGCTGACAATGCTGCATGGGATTTCAGCGCAGAAAAGATCAAACAGGAGGATAGGAGCTCATTGAATTTCTGGCAGATCAACGGGTATTTTTCTTTACTTGCAGCATTTTTAAGTGGATAAAACATGGACAAATGTGATTGTATTTCTGAGATGTACTGATTTTTTTTGTGCCCAGATATACATTTTAAGTTTTCATCTACATCAAGACTGAAGGGTGGTGCAAGTGTAAGACATGTTTAGGTCCTTCAGTGCCAGCTGGAGACAGTTTTTTTAAATATCTGCTGTTGCTAAGGTGTACATCAGTGGTGTAACAATAGCCGTAGCAGCCCACGTGGCTGCTATGGGACCTGCAGGTATAAGGGGGCCCAGTTAAGGACTGCAGACGTTGCTATTTACACTGACCCTGTGCCCCCTGTCACATTCCCAATCAGGAAGAGCTGATGTCAGATGTACAGGAGGAGACAATGCATATAGCTCTCCTGCTACCTGACTTTAATACCATTGACAGTAGTAAGGTCGCCGAGGGACCCCATCAAAATTTTGCTATGGGGCCCCACAAATTTTCAGTTATGCCCCTGGCGTACATACAATAATATTGTCGTAAGCAACCCTTACACCATATAAACCTAGTGCACATAAAGCTGAGTTATCTTAGTTATTGCATATACCATACATACTGTATAATTATGGTAAATCCCTTAGGCTATGTGCTATACATATCTTCTTATGGAATTAAATCTCCAAGTTCTGTCCCTGCCCGTGGTAGATATGTTTTAGAAATATATACATTTAGAAGATTTGTTCATACCTTAGAAGATCGCATCTCTTGACATCTGCAGCATCATAAAATATAAACTTGATCATACGACTGAGGTGCAGAGGTAGCCAGCATATGGCAAATACAAGAACTAGGCAAAATACTGTTTTAACCATATCTCGTCTCTAAAAGATATGAAGTACACAATATAAGTCAGTTAGTAAGCTGCATGACTTGCTTTGTTTCTTGTAGCCTTTTGGTATTCAACATTGGGCAGAAGCAAAGTTACCAGTAGAGCAACTCACAAAAGCAACAAATTGACATGAGAAATCCCCAATCCCCAAAGGAGCGCTAACATGACCATTGCCTGTAATCGATCTAAGGAGATTAGTAACATAAGCAGATTGTACATGCTTCATTTACTGATGGATGAAAAACAGATGGAGCCATCAATATACTATGAGAACTGCCTAAAAAACTCAAGGAAGTCTGGAGTCCTCTCACAAGCCCTACTATAGAACTGAGGGAAGTTTGCTTGCATACCTCAGGTCTCACCGGGGGCTGCTGACTGTCACAGCTGTGATCCCCTTCCCCGCAAGTTGCTCAGCTAAAACCAGCTAATTTGGTAGATTGCTGGAGGCCCACAGATTCCCCACTTTGCCCACTCTGAATGCTGGGCCTGTACAGAGTAATACTATAATAATAGAACCATAAATACTTTTCAAATCTGTAAAATACTTTTGTAATATCCTGCTCTCCTTTCCAGAATTCGCAAAACCAAACACTAATAACAAATGTATTATACTGACTGCAATAATTTGGTTAATCTGAGTCATTTCTTAAAGAGGAACTCCAGTATTTTTTTCAAATGAACCCTTACACAGGGGCTACCCTGCAGTGCAAGGTGTAAGTACTCATTTTACATAGTAACGCACATAGTTTGTTAGGTTGAATAAAGGCAGGGGTCCATCCAGTTCAACTTTTGTGTGTATGGGTATATGTGATTTTGTTCTAAGGGTGAAAATAAAGGAAATATACTTACCTGATCCTCAGTCCCGGCAGCCTCTTCTCCCCCTTCTCCCCTTGGCTCCAGCAGTCTAAGGGCCCATGATCTCATCATGTCTAATGCAGGCCCATTAGATGTGAGGACACCAAGGAATATATCACAGTCACAGTGGAGGGGGAGAGAGGTGATCAATGACCACAGCAGGTCTGAGGATCAGATGAGTATATCTTCTTTGTTTTCACACCTAGACCAAAACAAGCATTTACCATTGCAGCGTAGGTGCAGCCCCAATGCAAGAGTTAATTTGAAAAAAAAAAGAGTTCTTTAAATCTAAAATGTGGAACCCAATTCTGGATCTAGATGACTCGAATTTTAGACCAATTCATGCTGAATCATTTGAAATACAAGCTGTGGGTGGCCCTGCAACAACCACCAGTTCAAAAACAGTCAATTCAAAAATCAACTGAGCCAGGTGAAAAATTAGTTGCCAAACAGCTACTGCATCCTTCCAGATGTAGTAATTTTCAGGTATTCAGGCAGCCACGGGCGATGCAACTGCTGAATACAATAGCTAAAAGTGGAGATTCCTCTAGCAGTGTATAGCTAGCCTAGCCAATCTACTTTAGTTTTTAAATATTATCAGGTTGTTACATTTTTTAGTATAGTTTATGCCTATTCCAAAATTTGATGGGTCATTACAGATTTTGAAGGTTAGCCCCTGTGATTTAAGGCTTTAAAATATCCCTGTTTTTAATTAATGATCACCTTTACAAGTTCTACTTGAAAGCTACTGTAAATTAAACAGGCTTTATGTAAATTTAATGATCGCCACAAATTAAAGAAAAAGGTATGTGTGTGTATATATATATATATATATATAAGCTCCGGCCAAAACTTTGCTTAGTTTAAAAGAGAATCAGAATTGATTAGGACCTACACGTTTGTATTGTCTGCTGTGATTGCTCTGAGGAGCATTCAACTTTTTCCCTGTTCCACAGATAGAGAAAGCAGTGAGAGGAAGTCTCCTAAAATGAGGGGAAATCACACCTTTGACAGCTTTCACTAGTATAGGTGTCCTCATTTTGGTGTGATTGCTATTCACCTTCTGTCTGGTGACAACAGCCACCAGGAAAAGAAGAGGATGAAATCTTCCCAGCAAGGCCACAGATAATAAGGAAAAAATAGGGCCCCCAACTCTTCCCCATGCTATACAAAAACCCAAAAAAGTAAAAATTCAGTTTATTGCTTACCTGATTTAAGTGATCATTCATTGAAATCCCCATGGCACTTTTGTTCCGCAACAGCTGACAAGTCATCAGAATATAAAAGACTGCTGTCACAAGCAAAGGAAGGCAATAATAGAAGCTGAAAAGCCATGGGTCTTTGTAGGTCTTGTAGACCTAAAATGGGAAGTACATCAACAATGCATTAACAATGCTTCATATGTTGGCTAACCTCCTAATAGAAGCTTGTCAATATATTCTTTTATAACCTACATAATGCCATGATCTATCTATCTATCTATCTATCTATCTATCTATCTATCTATCTAGATATATCTATAGATATATCTATAGATATATCTAGATATATAAAAAGTACATTCATGTTTATATCCTATATAATTGCACAAATGTAGGTGTACAAAAAACACAGCTTACCTCCATGAAGGATGATTTTTGTTCTGGAAGGAGCATACAGATATCTATGCTACGTCCTTTGTAGCTTAATTTGAAAATATCAAAGCCTATGGCCTCAGGCACTGCCAGGACAACCGACACAATCCAGATAAATGCAATTTCCAGCAGAGTCCATTTGGATGTTCTATTTTGTCTAAAACGATTAGAACATGCCACAGCTCTATATCTATATGGACAGAAAAGTTTGAGTGGTGAGACAACCCCTACACCATATTTCACATCCTAACAGATTACTTTCCTTATCCTATTTACTTTAATCGCTCAAAGTAACCAAGTCTATACTGATGCTAGTCACACACATTGAAGTCTGATTCAACAATGTCTGTGTAGTCCTGACTGGTGGCCCCTTTAAAATCACTCAGCAGAATGTCATACCCTGGTCACAGTACATTTTCCCTCCATGTTGGTGACTGACAGAATGCAGGAAGAGGGGAGCAGAAGGAGGATTCTGATTAGCTGCAGCCAGAGCCTTGGCTTGGAGCATTAATTAATGTACAACTGTGACCCAAAGTCGGCATACAGTGGGCTACTGCTCGCTATCTACTGCCAGTTGAAAGCTGCATTGTCAAAAGTCACCCAGTGGGATCTGCCTCTCTAGAGCCAGATCCAGCTGTGCCCAACCCCTCACCTATCTGTTATTCCAGTGAGTGCTAAAGGAACAGGGGGGTGGTAATCCATGTGGGGATCAGCGAGAAGCCAATATATAGACTTGGCGGTTGACAGCTGCAGTGTCCCAGGTCAGCTCTAAGTATTGGGAAGAGTATATTTTATACTGCCAATACTTCTCCTTTTAAGCCTATGGGAACGTATTGTGCAGGTGTGGCTGATGGGCTTTAAGAGTAATTTTTTTATACATACAGTTACAATTAGTAATAGTATGTTGTTATTATTATTACATGTATTTTATATAGCGCCGGCAATTTTACGCAGTGCTTTATTTAGTTGCATATGCACATCAGTCCCTGGCTTCATGGAATAAAGTTTATAAAATCTGCGCTTATGGACCAAAAAAAATAAAAAATCAAATAACCAGTATTGAAGCTGCTGCACTAAGGACACTAAGGTCAAAGGATGTATATAAATAAGTGTGCATCGCTCGGGGTCACCAGTGGGTGAACTGAAACTATCGGGGCGTTGCATCTTTTTAGTTAAAGTGAATGAGCATTTGTAGCCTCTAGTGCATATACTGCCAATTTAATATCCTAGTGGCAGCCAGTGAATTGTAAAGTGCAAAATTTCACTCAGTGCAAATGTGCAATAAATATATATATAAATATTAAATGCATGAATACTAAACCTTAGTACAATAAAACTTGTGATAAATTAACCTTGCATAAAAACGTGCATCAAACTTGTCAAAAAGATCAAAGGCAAAAAGTGATGAATGATACCCCTTGATATTGAGCCCCTGGGGCGGGGCTATACATCTCAATACCACTTACAACACGGAAGTACAGGCTATCTACACACCGCCTGTGAACGGCTGATTTCTTCGTTTTTTACTGTAAGTGTGTACTTATTTTAAATAAATGTTTATACCTACAACACCATAAGGAGTTTCTTTTTATAATTCTCGCTAACCACTGACCTATGGGACACTGCTGGGACGGTTGCTGGGACTGCGTATCCATTGCTCAACTTCATATTGCCTACAGACAATAATGGTTTGGTGAGTGCGCACCCCAGAGGGGCGATTGACGTGGACACATGGTGTGGGAAAAAGACTTTTTAACACTTTCTGGAGTATTTTCATCATCAATATTTTTTATACAATTGGATTTAATATTAGACTTGATTCACCTAATCATTCAAACCTGGCTTCATGGAGCCTACAATCTAAGGTCCCTATTGTACAGACATACATACGAGGGCCAATTTAGACAGGAGCCAATTAACCTACCAGCATGTGTTTGGAGTGTGGGAGTCCAAAAAAGTACAAGAAGGGATAACATGCAAACTCCTTGCAGATAGTGCCCTGACTGTGATTCAAACCAAGGACCTCTAGTGCTGCAAGGTAGAAGTGCTAACCACTACACCACTGTGCTGCCACATTATTTTTAAAGTAACTAACTAATTTTCAAAGAAAATCAACCTATGTAAGGACAGCTTAAAACAAATCACTTACTTAACTCAATTAAAATAGTAAACAACGTATAATAAAAAGAAATGTTACCTATCAATACTGAGTGCACACAAGCTCAGAACTGTGATTCCCACTGAAGACTTCTGTAGAAATGGGACTAATTTGCAGATTTCAGCACCAAATGGCCAAGTCTGAGTAACAAGCTTTAAACAGAAGATAATTCAAATAAGAGTTAGTTACAAGTAATGATGGAATCACAGGCATATACATTTAATATTTTAGATGTTAGCCCTTTGACTTGTGAGTGTTCACATTATGAATATATTAATATATGGTGGGAGCTTTCCTTTTTTTTGACCCGTCAACCATTTGTCTCTCCTAATTTTTGATTAGAGATAAGTAAGGTTGTGGACCAGTTCTGATTCACTGACTATAGGTATCTACATATGTTTAGCAAAATCTACCTAAAGAAATAGCACTATTTTCAGCTTTTGATGACATGTTGCATGTTGCATTCTCAGAGCTATGATATAATTATTATTTCATGTCACAGTTGTACACTAACCATTTCATAATTAATATAAACACATCAGCAAGTATTAGGTAGAGTCAGTCAGAGGGTGCCTGTTGGTACCTCCAAGTCAGTGTTAGAGTGCAAAACTGAACGTTTTGGGACAGAGTTAGGTTACATTTAGGACCTGTCCTATGTGTGATACAGCTATTCTTCCCAATGAGGAATCTAGAATCCAAAGATTTTCTCAGTGACCAGCCTTTTTTTGTGTACTTTTTTGTAGTTGAGCAACAAATACAAGCCACATTATGGGTACAATTCAAACCGCTCTACACAGGCCTAAAACACTCTATTTTCAGGCATGTAACTGTAATATTGTTAAATCTCATTGGACTCGGTTGAAAATAATGGTCACTTTTTTAACCACTTCAGGACCACCCACCGTAAAAAAAAAACCTGTCTTGAAGCGGTTATACCAAGAACACGGCTGCTGTTTAAATACAAGCAATCTGACGACTGTACAGTCCTCGGATCGCTTGTACTGTGCGATGCTGTGTGCCCCTCCGCTGCTGGCTTCCCTGGGCTCCGTTGTCCACTGTGACTGATCCTCCGATTACTGGACCGGGAAGTGATGTCTATGACATCCCTTCCGATGTCACTGTGTACATTCTCCAGCTCTCAGAGCCAGGAGGAGAAGCTGGGGAAGCAGATCTCTGCTCCTCAGCTTCTTTGGGGTCCCTAGGTGACATTAGGGGCCTGAAAGACCCCTAATGTCTCCATAAAGGGGACCAGTTACATTAAATTTGCTATTACAAAGGAGGCTTCTTAGCCCTCTATGTGATAACAATAAAGTTTAGTGTAAAAAAAATTAAAGTAATATGAAAATTTATAAATGCAAAAAAATGTTTTTAAAGTTCCCCACCGCCACGTGCACACACGCTTCGGGTGTGTGTACGTGCAAAAATGAAAATTGTGCTTCACATGTTACATATTTTTACAAACATCAGAGTGAGAGCAATAATTCAAAGGTCATTAATCACTGGTAACACTAAACCGATGAGCAGTAAAAAATCTTTTAAAGCATTGCCTATGGGAAATTTGGGGTATTGTAGTTTTTTGCAGTTTCACAAACGCACACAATTTTAAGGCTTGAAATGTTTGGTATCTATTTACCCGGCATGACCCCGTCTTTTATATTTTACCAAAAAATTGGATATTATATTCTGTATCTGTGCACTTAATTTAATTTTAGTGAATTTTAACCTAAAAACACTGGTTTGAAAAACATTTTCGCAAATACTGTCTAACATAAATAATTGCAACTAGGATTTTTTATTCTACAGGGCCTCAGCTTTCAGAAAATATATAATAGTTTTGGGGTCTGAAGCTGTTTTCTAGCCAAAAAATCTGATTTTATCATGTGTGTGTGCAAATATCAAGAAATTGCTCCGGCCAGCAAGTGGTTAAATAAATAAATATCCTCATCTAGGTCAGTTAGAGCACTGCTACAAGATACTTTTCGCTGTGAGTTTCAAAGTTGCACTGAATACAGTATATGACCTCTCAAGATAATTAGTACTTACTATTGCAAAACAGGGCTGTAACCAACTAATCGATTATTCGATAATAAACAATTATGAGAATAGTTGTCAACTTATCTCATTAACAATTAATTGGTTGGATCACCTAGCTCTCTCCTCTATGCTGGGAGGAGGGCACAGCAAGCAGTGGGTAGGTGCAATACCCAGCCTGCTATTGGCTGTTGCAAGCTGAAATAGGCAAGGCTGTGCATTCCAGTGTAGTGTGATTGCAAAAAATTGTGCATGCAGTTCTATTCTGAAGCAAACTTTGTAACGCTGCATTTTTGTATTTTATTTTAAATTGATTTACTGTTTGTTTTAATCTGATTAATCGAAAAAATAATCGGCCAACTAATCAATTATGAAAATAATCATTAGTTGCAGCCGTAGTTCAATCTAATAGTATGTTGAAAGTTATCAGCATTCCATAGTGTGTTGTTTTTTTTGCAGATTTATCATCACATTATATAACAAAAGAAGCAGCCCCATATTTCGTACGGGCATTACAGGGACAGGAAGCGAGCACAAGGTCTCTCCAATGGGGTCACAGAAAGAAATATGGTTCATTTGAGATCAGTTTGGGAATGTAAACCCAAGAACAAAATGTAAAATATTGTAGGTTACCTATCTACCTATGTGATAACTGTTTTCATTTTCACTTTTCAGACTTTTTTCCTTTTATTTGTACCTGTAGATCCTGCTAAGCTCATACTTTCTGTCCTATGGTTACAATGTTATCAGAAAGTATGTTTAGGATTACAGAACGTCTCCCCTTTTCCTCTCTTCATAACATTGGAGGGTGTTCTTTAGTCCTAACACATTTTCCGAGAACACTGTTTGAGACAACACTGCAGAGTGCACAGGACCCTGAACAGCACCATATTTCTGGCAGGATCAAAGGCTATTTTGCACTTATTGAGCAGATAAAACAAAACACGTTCAATGGTATATTTAGCAGACCAAAAGGGAGCAAAAAAGAGATGTTCATTGTTAGGGTTTGCATATATTTTAACTTGTATAGAAGAATAAAAGAAAATGATGAAGCGTGGCAAGAGCAAAAATACAGTAAACACTGCTCCAAAACAATTTAGCTCAGAATTTAAACACTGTGTACACAGAAACAACCCATGGGTCCTGAATGTCACTTTTGAACTTGTAAAATTGGAGATTTGGAGATTAGCATTTGTACGCCTTCCAACAACCCCTACTGATTTTTGATAATCTTAATTAATTAATCTTAAAAGTATAGAATTAATTCTTGTCAAAAACTATTTAGGATTTGTACATACATTAAATATATTTCACATAAGAAAAAAAGGAAAAATATATAAATGAAATTATCCTTAATACACACATTGAATGATTCAATCATAATTAGCATAACTAAATACTGCCACTTAGAATTGGGGGTTAGAAGGACAATGTGGGAGATCTGGTCTTGACAATCAAATTGGTGATAGGTGAATACTTTTACGTATGGGGAAGAACATTCAGTACATGCTATGTAGCCTGTGGGTGGTACTATATTTCTCAATGCGTCTGTGTTGTCACATTAACAACAGTGAATTGCTGACATGGGTCACTTGGTTTTCAGAAGAATACTGTTTGACAAGACAATACATCCCTTTTAGAATGAATTAACTAAAAAACATTCAGACAGTGGGATATGTGTGAGGATAATTTGTCTTGTCATAAATGGAGTTTTAGTCCCTGAGACATCTTCATATCTCATTGTCAGTGTTTTAAAGTGTGTTTATTAAATAGTTTTCTGTCTTAACACTATAATTAAAAAGGCAGTATTTGTCTTCACCATAGGCTGTGAACTGTAATAGATAAAATTAGCATTTCTCATCTGCTCATGACTTAAATTAAAATTTAATAGACTGCTTGATATATACAGTGCATTGAGTTAATGGGGTAAACATGGAAGAAGTGGTTGAGCTGATTTGAACATATTACCTCTTTCTCTGACTTTGCTCCTCACTAAGGTCATGAATTCTTAGGAGTATTCCTGCTTGATGCAGTCATCGTTCAGCCAATAATTTTCCACCTAGTTCAGTCCATTTTTAAACCAAGTTTTGTCAAACTGGGTGGTGCTTGCAGGGTTTGCCGTGGCTCCGATTGAGCAGGAATCAGGCAAAATTTGAGCCATCTATGGCCAGCTGTAGTTTTTCCTAAATTTCATGGTCTATATTCAGTTCTACATTTACATCTGAGTAGCCTATAGGCCATACTAATAGGGAACATTCCTAAAATGTCTGACCCTGCATCAACCACCTCTCAAGTAGTGATGGCTCTAGCTCTAGGCACAGGTCTTCTGTACCTTATCATAAATCCCATGTATACCTTTCTTTTCAAAAGTAGAAATATAACTGCCTCTTCTGTAAAGAAAATTACAAGTCAAAGCCTGTTCTTTGGGGAATCAGGCTTACCGTCCAGTGAAAATTTAATAATGATGGTGTAAGGACTTACCTGCTGCGGGCCACGGGCACAGCCAGCATGTCATGTCCACGAGACTGCCACTGCTTCGGGTCCCACACAGTCAGGCATTGAGCAGGGATGATAGCAGGGATCTTCCTGTTGTGGAAGCTCAGCAGTTGTGGAAGCTCAGCAGAGATTGGTAGACCCCTGCTGCTGACAACAGTATATTGTTAGGGAAATGTGCACACACTGTGTATGCTGTTGCAGACACAGTGCATAATAGTGAAGCCAATGCCTCCTCCTCCTCCTGTGACATCACAGAAGCACCTGTGCCTATAAATACCAACTTCCTCCACAAAATGGAGCTTGGTTATTGCAGAGCTTTGTCTCTAGTAGTCCCTAGCCTTTGTTACCTACCTCTCGTACGACTTCCTGGTATTTTGACCCTTGGCTTTGTTACTCGACCTCGATTGTATTGCCACCTGCCCTGATCTGCTATTATGTCTAGACTACGAACTTGCCTGCAGATTTGGATACTCTGCCTATCTGTCCTGCTTGCCACTACTCCAAGGTGAGCGTATAACAATCTTGCTACTTGGATAGGAGCACCTTAGTACGGGTGGCTACCTCGCTTACAGACTCCTGCCTCTGACCCGCTGACAGATGGAAATGTATATAGTTGTTAGTATCA